GGGGGAGGGGGAAGGGGGAGGGAGAGGGGGAGAGGGAGCGTGAGCGCGACTGACCCACCCCAGAGGCTCAGGAGAGAAGACGGATGTGGAGGAGAGACCTGAAAATCCCGTCTTATGACGGGCTAATTGGCTAGTTTCAAAATAAAGGCTTGTAGTGTAGACACGCTCTTCTTTATTCCAGAAGAACATTAGTTATTCCGGAATAACACTGCTGTGTAGACATAGCCTGACAGTGCTTAGAGTGCACTTAACTTTGGAGTAAGCCCCATTGAAAACAAATATAAGATGGAATTCTTTTGAGAGCTGAATTATGCTGAAGTAAAACAGAGAATAGATTGATGGCATCACCATTATGGTTTGTGACCATGATCTTCCAAAACAAGAGGCATGTTATTATGTAATAAAATAAAAAAATGATACTCTGACAACTCTAGATTTCTTACTGCAGCTTTCTATACTGTGCATTTGGGTAGTTAACTAGGTTTACAATCTAACAAGCCATATGGATTTGCTAGCAAACTTTTTTTTTCTAGCAGCATCCAATATAGCAAACAGCTTGTGAATTTACTTGTTAAATCACACAAAAGGCATAGAGGGAATCTTGAAGAATAATGCATAGTTGATCTACATAGATCTGTGGGAAGAACACTGTCTTCATCCGTATTGTTTTCTCCCAATAAGAAGTTTTCTGTATGATGACTTATTTTTGCAGCGGGGGCTCTTGTGCATTTCAAAGCCACAGTGCAGCATGGAGTCTTGGGTCAGCGGGGGACTCTGAGTCCCCCACTGACCCCAGGCTCCGTCCTGCGTTGCAGCTTTGAAATGCTGCTTGAAGCCAGGGTCAGCTGGGGACTCCCCAGCTGATCCTGGGTTCCACTGGGGAGTCTCCAGCTGACCCCGGGCTCCACTGCACCAATTTGAAATGTGAGGGGCTTCAAAGGGGCAGCTCTGCAGAGCTGAGCTGCTGGGGATTAGCTGTTTGCAGGACTGTCTCCTTTGAATACCGACTGTGCATTTCAAAGGCGTTCAAAGGGCAGCACTGCACAGCTGAGATCAGCTGTGAGGCACTGTCCTTTGAATATTGCCTCCCTCCTGCTACCTCTATCAGCTCTCCAAAGGATGGAAAATGTTAGAGCAGTGGTGCCTGCGGGCGCCATGGCGCCCACCGGGCCATTTCTGTGTGCCCGCCGAGTGATTGGGGCCGGCCCCGCCTCCGGGCACATGGCACATGGGCGTTGCCAGCTCCTGGGCATGCAGCGTATGGGCATCCTCGCCCCTGGACACGCGGCACAGGAGCAGTGCCAGCCTCAGGTGCACGGTGCATGGGCGCTGCCGGCTCCTGGGCCTGTGGCACAGGAGTGGCGCCAGCCCCAGGCATGCAGCACATGGGCTGTTCTGGCCCCGGGCATGCAGTGTATGGGTGACCCCGCCCCTGGGTGCGTGGTCAGGACAGGCGCTGGCCCCGGGAGTGTGGCCCATGAGTGGCGCCGGCAATGGGCACATGGTGTATGGGTGGTCCCACCCTGGGGCACGTGCGCGGCCCCGCCCCCAGGTGGCCCTGCCCCCGGGCACCCAGCTACCCCGAAAGGTTGGGGACCACTGTGTTAGAGGGAACTCTGAATGTGACACTGTCATTTACTTTAACAATGGAGACTGTGAAGAATGTGTTAGAATTACTGCAATACATGATCAATTCAGGTATCCATATTTTCCTTTTTTTTCTATAGTTATTTATCAGAATGTCTTACACTGAAAGAAAACAGAACATCTCTGTCCCAGTTACTAGATGGAATGAAATGTAAGTAAATATTGGGTAAGTATGCAAGGCTAGTAGAAAAAGGTCACAAAATGAACTAGTTGGGGGGGGGGGGGAATGAAACCTAGTTTCTATAGTAAACACATTTAAAATAATGTGGTCATGATGCAATGGGCCTCCATATTGTTGTCTGTAACAAGGTCTTGGGGGATTAACCACACTCTTGAAAATTGAAAGCTCTACTTTTGATATCTGCTGCTGTTACTACTCATGAATTTGGGTGAAATATTTTCTTGGTTGCTGTTAAAGTAGAAGAAATGGAAATTATTTCCTTTAGCCCATTTTTCAGGTTGTAGAAACCTGTGGATTACTACTTGTGCCACTAGAGGGTACATTTTTCTAAGCCAAATAAATTTAAAGTTAATGGTGTCTGTAAAGGTTTAATCTTTTCAGACTCTTGCTACTTTTTAAACACTTTAGTGTATAGAGAAGTCTTGAAAGATTTAAAAGCGCGTGTTCTTGTGCTGTTTATTTTAGAAACATCAAGAATGTTCAAATCTAGTTTTGCTAGTGAATGTGTTGGGTGCTTTGATGGATATTAGTTGCCATGAGTTAATAAAAACTGTGTTGAATCACTAAAGATTTTTTTTTTCTCCAAAATATTTAGTCACTAAAGTTAAGTGTTAGTTTTTAAATGACTGAAATTTGATTTTCACCTCTTAGCTGCTGATCTTAATTTCTTGGCTCTTGTGAAACTGTTTCGCTAATTCACCAATGTCTTCCAAGCTATATTTCTAGTGTTTAAAAAAAAAAAGGGAACTTATCTTCTCTCCCTTTTTGAAGCTGTCGCTACATTGTAAAAAAGCAAAGTAAACAAGCCCAATTTTTTTGCAGATGAATGCTTTGAAACTATCCCTAAACTTTAGTCTAGCCCTCGTATAGTTTCATGGAAAACGTACCTTTAGGCTAGGACAAATGGATGGACACTCACACTCTTACTTTATAAAAGGAAACATACCTGTGGTACAAAAAATTGCTAATGATAAAAATAAGTGTTTCTCTTATGCTTGCTGACAGATGACTAATTTGGTTTGTTTTAACAAGATCAAAACTGGTCTTTATTTTTAAGACTTGATGCACAGTGCAGAAAGGAAAGTATATCAACATTTCCTGACACTTGTTAGGACAGTAGTGCTAGCTCTGCATCATTTCTTAGCCTTGAGGAAATTCAGAATTATGATGCCAGCTAGTTTTCAGTGTGGCTCTCTTTTCTGAGCTTACACTATATCTTGACACTACTTAAAATAAATCCTCTGATGTAAAGTGGCAGTTAAGACTCTTACACATGTAATCTTGGGCTTTTTAAAATGTAAGAGTATCTTATGGTTTTTCTAAGCTGAGATCTTGTTTATGAAGCTATTCAAAAAGTCCTTTTTCCCCCCAAGTACCTTATATTTGCTTTAAAAAGAGTTTTTGGTAGGCTTTCGATCTCATTAAAATGGTCTGTAGTGCAAGCATGTACAATTGCAGCTTCTTCATACTGAAAGTAGGGATGTCAATGTGTAGTCGACTACACAATTAACTGATAAGCTTGGGCTTATTGGTTAATCTTTTCAACTACATGCACTCCCCTACCCCCCTTGCTGCTTTTGTATCAGCAAGGCACCGGTTCCCGTAACCTGCCCCTATGAGGAGCTGACTTTAAGCAGGCTCCCCATGAGCACCACATCTGCCTGCCACCCCATCCCCACACTGTTGCCTATGATAGAGAGGCAGCACTATGGAAGGTGAGAGGGGCAGGCTGGAGCCACTAAATGTGGGGAGCTGCCTTTCAAGCCAGCTCCCCATGCATGCTGACTCTGCAGACCTGCCTGCCCACCCCTCTACCCCCTTGCTGCGAGTGGGGGGAGACAGGCAGGAGCTGGATGGAGCTAACTCCATGGTGCTTCCTCGCTGTCCCCCTCTGCCCTATGAGGCAGCAGTGCAGGGGATAGGGATGTGAATGACTAGTGAACACACACTAGTCCACATACTAGTAGCTTTCTCCCCCCTCCTCGTCCCCCCCGCCCTTGCTGCCTCTATCAGACAGAGGCAGCATGCAGGGGCGGGGGACAAAGGGGATGCTTCAAAGCAGCAGCGCTCTGTGGGGCCTGGAGCCCGGGCCCAGACCCTGAACTCCACACAGTGCTGATGCTCTGAAATGCTGCATGCATTTCAAAGCAGCAGTGCCATGTGGACTGCCTCCTGCCTACCATCCTGTGCTGTTTCCTCTGTCTGAGAGGCAGGAGTGGGACAGGAGTGCTCTGGCTGCTGGCCCTGCCACCAGGGACTATCGAATAGCTGCGTAATCAAGATTTCATGCGGTTACATGACTATTCAGTTACACGATATCTAATGTCTCTAATTGAAAAGCTAGCTTTTGATGTATTCATAACCTAATGAAGGTAAGAAGAGACAGTCCTATTGACAGGGCCTAAAAACTGTGCTACAATTCTTTATGAACTGTTGTGATTTGATGAAGTTTTTCCAAGTAAAAAATGTGGTTTGAATTGTTAAGTTTTAGTATTCTGAAGAGTTTAGTCTGAGAGAGCTGTGAGCCAAGACCTCTTAAGTTCTAAACATGACTATTCCATTGATTCTTGGGATTACAAGAATGTTATGGGAATTAAATCAGTAACTTATTGCAACCAATTCTTTACTTTGAAAAGTTGTGGTGTTACCTCCAATAGGCATGAAAAATCTCATAAAGAAATATGAACCACCACGGCCTGAGGAAGTTACTGTACTAAAGCAGAAGTTAGAGAAATGTCACAGCTCTGAACTTGCTCTTAATACACACTTGTAAGTATCGTTTTGGCACATTACGAAGTTTTGACTTTCTGCTTTCCTACACTGCCATTTAGAACAGTCATGTTCTGCAGAGACATTCGCTTTTATAAAATATTAATTTTCCTTGTACTGTACAATATATTCAGATGAAAAATAAAATTGATCTAATTATACTGCATCTCTCTCTCTCTAATCTATATCTATCTGAGAGATTCATTCATTCATTCCTGCGGGATAACAGTGACATCATCACTTCACTCTGCATCCCACCTGTTTCCCATTGCTGCTTGGAATTGCTATTTTAAACTAAGCCCCTGCTCCCCTTCCTCCATCCCCACCCCACAGGGCTTTCAACACCAAGAAACATGGCACAGTAGCTGGCAGACCCCACATTGCAGCTATGATAGCCTAGAGGGGGAGTGCAGTGCAGTGCTCAGGACAGCAGCTTGAAGACAGGCACTAGGAGTGGGGCTCCCAGCTGGGTTTGTGCCAGCAGCAGGCTCTCAGGGAGCTGGAGCGTAGTGCCCAACTGCCCAGAGTCCGGCTGCCCTGGCAGAGACTCACCTGTTCCCCATTGGCTGCACTTATTGCTGTAGGCAGAGCACCCCTGACCCATCGCACCAACCTGTCTGCTCCTTCCCTTTCGCTCTGTGGGTGAAGGGACAGCCTTGAGCTGGGACAGTGAGCAGTGCAGGTAGTATTGCATGGGGCAGAGTGTGGGACAGCGGCCCCTTGCGCCGCTGCTTTCTCCATCTCAGCAGGCTGAAGTGCCCCAGAGTGCTGTGTGCTCTCTGTGCCTCACTGCACCCAGGAGCAGCAGGCAGGCACTCCTGCGCCTCCCTAGCCAGCAGGGTTAGAGCTGGGCCTGGCGCATGTTGCAGCCAGGAGAGAGGAGTTATGGTGGGGGGGGAAAGGAAGGGCCTGGGCTGGTGGTGGTAGTGGGGTTAGGGAGAAGGGGACCCTGGCTCACGGGTACAGGCTGGCAGTCGGGAGGAGGGATAAGGGGGCCGGGGGAGAGCCAGGGTTGCCTACCCCTTCCCCCAGCGAGAGGGGAGTTGGCAAGCACAGTGAGCAGGGGGCACAGCCCCCAAGTAGTTGGTAAAATAAAATATTTAATGTGTAGGATTGTATCCCTAACAGTTACTAACATAGGGGCTTGGTCTCCAGGATTCATTCCTTGATCTGGGCATTGACTAACCATGGGATGGGCTTGAAGCCAATTACCTCTGTGCCATTTAACCCATCTTGGAGAAAAGACCCAAACAAACCAGTTAATACCTGCCTAACAGTATGTATGTAGTTGATCTATTTATCAAGGGCTTAGAAACCTTTTCAAGAAAGTCATATTTTACACAAATTTCATGAAAATCTTTTTGTAAAGATTGCAAAAACTACACTAGTCAGTGTAAGTGAAATGGCAAGAAACTCCCAACATAAATGCATTCAAGAAATATATGTAACAAATTCAACTTGAATAGTAATAGAGAGATAGCTGTGTTAGTTTTTACTTTTGTTTATCAAGAGGAAACTATGTAGCACTTCAAAGATTGACAAGATGGTTTAATAGGTGATGAGTTTTAAGGATAATGAAGTTAGTATTGAAGCTGAACTTCCTCTGTGTCTAAATACCTTATATTTTTCTTTGGGGAATTAGAAAGAAGAGGAAGGGCTATGAAGATGATGAATATATTACAAAGAAATCTAAGATGGAAGAGGTTAGTAGGCATGTTACAGAAGAACTGTTCATATTTTCTTTAGTAACCATTAACGAGACTGGTAAAATTCATTAATATTAAAATCTTCTGGAAACCGGTTTAGTACCTGGATGGTTTTTACAGTTACAGTAAAACCATGCCTCTTATTTCTTACATATTCTAGTTTATTTCCATCATAGCTCCTTATGGGAAAAAGCTTGTGGCCAAGAGAAATCTTTGTAATCTAAATTTAAAGTGGTAGTAACCCCGAAAGGGGCTTGACATGGCCTTGTTGGCCACAGGCAGCTGTATGCTTTTCAGTATCTCTCTTGTTTCTTCAGTGTAATATGTTACCCCTTGTCCTTGCTAGCCTGTATACTATGAATTAGACCAAGAATTCTGGTTTGGTAAAATTTAATTTCTTCACGGCTTATTGTTGCTTATTTTTAGTCTTTGGATGACTTTCATAAATTTAAATTTGCTGTTGATTCTAGTTGCATAAGAGTGAAAAGCAACATGCAGGAAATCCACTAACTTTCAGAATAGATAGTAATCTTTTAAGATAGGAGTGAGGTTAAGATTTGTGTTTTGTTACGGTAGCATGAAAGAACTACCATAACGAAAAGTAATAGCACAATGGAGCTAAAAGTTGGAAGTTATAAATGGGAATTCTGGCTTTGTGTTTAGGGTCAGACCGTGGGAAGATGTAAACTCTATTACAATGCACCAGCATTCCCCACCGTGGCCAACAGATGGGGAAATGACTCATCTTCCCTGATTTTTGTAAGATTAAAGGTCAGAAGATGTGGAAGCAGAGTACACTCCAGCAGTGACAAGCTTAATTGGCTTGATGAAGTAGAATTTAAGAAGTCTCTCCTGCTTGAAATTTAAAGTAGGAATGTTAAAATTAAGGATGTTAAGGAGTGGGTATTTGGCTAATTGAGTAGTAGATATAATTTGTCAACTACAAGATTAGTTGATAAGAGGAGCACTGCAGAGAGGGTGGTTCCTGGAGGTGGCACAAGCTGGTATTGAGTAGTCCCAGGACAACTTGTGCTGGGTCCCAGACTGCTGAGGCTCTGCCTTTTAAATGTGGTAAGAGCCCTGCAGGGTCCAGCAGCCCCTGTTCGCAGTGGCTGCGGACAGGGACTGTTGCTGGAGCATACTCTGCCTGCAGCCAGCCTAGGCTCGCTGTGGGCAGAGGCTGCTTCACTGCAGCCTTCCCTACCTCTCTCCCCCACCCCCCACTGCCTCTGATAGAGGCGGTGCTGGGGGGAGATGGCTTTTAAGCCAGCTCCCCCCAGCACATTTCTCTAAATATAGAGACAGTAAGGGGGGAGGAAGTGAGTAGTCTAGTACTCAACTTGACTACTTGTTTACATACCTAGTTAAAATGCAGGTAATTGGCTGTGTAATTGCTGAAAATTTTCAGCAGTTACATGCACCTGCAGCGTGGGGTGGCAGCCAGCTTCCTGGGGTTTGGTGCACACCAGGAGCAAGATTCTAAGCTAGCTTCTGGTGCACGCTGACTGCTGTCGCAGTGCTGCCTCTGTAGTAGAAGCAGCAGCATAGGGTGGCAGTTGGCTCCCCGGGAGCCAGACCAGGAGCCACATGTTACTGGTTACCTGTTCGGCACCAGTCAGGTCTTGAGGTTGCCAGACTAGAGAGGTTCATCCTGTAACCTCAGTTTAAAATCACACCTTCAAGAAAAGAGGCAATTACTACCAAGACCAATCGTATTGATTGTCTTGTCTGAACAATATAAGCTTCTTGCTCTGCTGTAACCACGACCATTAAGAGAACTGTTTCTTGATTTCACCCTGCTTTTTAATTGGAGTGGGTCAGGCTTACTTTTATTTAAATTGCAACATGTTCTGGAATAGTGATGGCCACCTTGTCCAAGGTATTCCACTAGCTGACCCACTTTTAAAAAGCCAGAGAAGTGCTAGCAAGTCCTTTCAGATGGATTTGAATAGCATTACATGTGCCAGTTCCTCCTGAATCCCTGGTGGCTGTTGGAGTGCACTACTTGTTAGTTGATACTGATCATAGGAGCTGCAGAGAAAAAAGCAGAGGTTCAAATGAAAGACCTAGATATGACAGGGACCCCAAAATAACTTTCAAGAGACATTTGGAAGATAAAATTGTTTTACTTGTGCATTGTAAATTACAGGGTGCTCCTGTCAGCGTAATTGGGACACAATGTTGTAATTTATTGGAAAAACCCCATAACAGGATGAAATTAAGTCCATTGTATTTGATGGACAACTGGTAGTTTGTACATTGTTGCAGGTGCCATTGTGCTGGACACTGTAAGTTGTTCAGTGGCTTCCTCTGCTACAGCCTATGGGAATCCTTAAGGTTCAGATAATTGAGGACCATTTATGTAGTATCAGGACCCTTCCTTTGGTTTTTGAGCCCTGGAATCTAGTATGTTAATGCTGGGTCTTGGAGACTATAAAGTTAGGGTGGGTCCCTTATGAGATTGACCTAGAGTCTGCTAAACCAAGATTTATATTCTAAAACTTGGATGAGTGGAAGAAGTGTCCTTAGAGTCCCTAATCCTGAGGAAGTGGGACTAGTATCCAATTCTAGTTTTTTAATCAGAAGTTCCTCCACTTTCAAATTCAAGGTGGAACCCCATGCTTTTATAATCTATTCATTAAACTCAAATCTGACTTGTGTCAAGAGCTATAAGATATATATATTTTCTTCATGTATAAATTCACTTGCCACAGATCTCAAAGTTTAAGTGGGAGTATCTTACTACCAGGAGTGTCCTGTTCTTTGATTATGCAGCAGCACAAAAGGTATAAAAACCTGGTAGTCATGGCAACTCACCTGAGGCAGAAAGGTATCCAACTATGTCCTTATTTGATGACTAGCTAATTCTAGGATGATCACTGCATTATTTAACAGTCCCTGTCTTTTTGATAACACCGGATCAACGGAACTACCTCAGTTGCCAGCCCAAAGAATAGATTGCACAGTGCCTGTATTTGATTACAGAGCAGAAAAAGCTTACTGCAAGTCCAACATTTGTAGCCTTACCTTTAACCATCTTTGCGTGTTCCACAGGCTCTTGCATCATTGGCATTCTTACAACACAAGTACAGAAAGCCATTATTTCCTTTATGTGCCTTGCATGCCTGGCTTGAAATCTATATCTGCCTAGTAGACACTAACAAGGTGTAAGTCCCCTGAGAAGTTTTGATAAGTTGGTGGAAGGATCTTTTCCAGGTATTTTCTACCCTGCTGCCTAGCAAGGTGCTGATAACAGATGCTTCCATGTGAGGGTGCAGCGTTCACCTAGAGCATCTATGAAATCCCAGATTCTTGCCTTTATAAATATATTTGAACTCCTAGCTATTTATCCAATGTGTACAAGCGACAAGGAGTCCTGTGGCACCTTAGACTAACAGATGTATTGGAGCATAAGCTTTTGTGGTCAAAGACCCACTTCGTCAGATGCATGTAGTGGAAATTTCCAGAGGCAGGTATAAATATGCAGGCCAGAATAAGGCTAGAGATAACGAGGTTAATTCTGTCAGGGAGGGTGAGGCCCACTTCTAGCAGGGGATGTGGAGGTGTGAACACCAAGGCTGTGTCTACACTGGCATGATTCTGCACAAAAGCATCCATGCCAGTGTAGACGCTCTCTTGCGCAAGAAAGCTCCAATGGCCATTTTAGCCATTGGGCTTTCTTGTGCAAGAAATTAACTTTGCTGTCTACACTGGCCTTCTTGCGCAAGAATACTTGCGCAAGAGGGCTTATCCCTGCGCAGGAGCGTCAGAGTATTTGCGCAAGAACCACTGATTTTGTACATTACAAAGTCAGTGTTCTTGCGCAAATACTCGCGGCCAGTGTAGACAGGCAGCATGTAGACAGGCAGCAAGATTTTGCGCAAAATCTTGCCAATGTAGACACACCGAAGAGAGGAGAAACTGCTTTTGTACTTGGCTAGCCATTCAGTCTTTGTTTAATCCTAAACTGATGGTGTCAAATTTGCAGATGAACTGTAGCTCAGCAGTTTCTCTTTGAAGTCTGGTCTTGAAGGTTTTTTTGCTGCAGGATGGCTACCTTTAAACCTGCTACTGTGTGTCCAGGGAGATTGAAGTGTTCTCCTACAGGTTTTTGTATATTGCCATTCCTAGTATCTGATTTGTGTCCATTTATTCTTTTGCGTAGGGACTGTCCAGTTTGGCCTATGTATATAGCAGAGGGGCATTGCTGGCACATGATGGCGTATATTAAATTAGTAGATGTGCAGGTGAATGAACCAGTGGCAGAATGGCTGATCTTGTTAGGTCCTGTGATGGTGTCACTGGTGTAAATATGAGGGCAGACTTGGCACTGAGGTTTGTTGCATGGATTGGTTCCTGAGATAGAGTAACAGTGTATAGTTGCTGGTGAGAATTTGCTTCAGGTTGGCGGGTTGTCTGTGGGTGAGGACTGGCCTGCCTCCCAAGGCCTGTGAAAGTGAGGGATCATTGTCCAGGATGGTTTGTAGATCACTGATGCGTTAAGTTTTAGCTGAGGACTGTAGGTGATTGGCAGTGGTGTTCTGTTGGGTTCTTTCTTGGGATTGTCTTGTAGTAGGAGGCCTCTAGTATTTACACCTGTCTGGAAATTTCCACTACATGCATCTGACGAAGTGGGTCTTTGCCCACAAAAGCTTATGCTCCAATACATCAGTTAGTCTATAAGGTGCTATGGGACGTCTTGTTGCTTTTGCAGATCCAGACTAACACAGCTACCCCTCTGATACTTGACACCACTGTGTACAGTATTTCTTCCCATGTTACATAAACTAATCAACCAGGTGATGGACACATCAGTGTTTTGTCAACAGCCCCAGAGCAAGGTACTGTGGGCTAGAGCGCATGCACTTACCTTCACAATAGCTCTGTCTAACCTTACAGGCCACCATCTCAGCTGGTAATTAGTATAAAAAGACTGTCAAGGATCATATTCTGAAGGTGGGGAATACCAATCAATAGACAGGTTTACTATAAACCTAAGCAAATACCAAACATCTGGCTTGATGTTGGTAGGGGCCTTGAGACTAAACTGTCAGATGCTTTCCTTTCCCTTATGGACAGGATAATGAAACCAGTGGATAGTCACCCTCTAATATTGAGGATCCAAACAGAGTAATCACCTTTATCCCCATTTAGGCCAAGGCTGTTCTGGTTTGTGCACCTAATAAACTTATCTTGCTTGATGGGATCTGAGAAAGGAGTTCACATCCTCCAGCTGGTCATGTGCATGCTGGCTTAACTGTCCTGAAGCAAGCTGTTCAGCTGATGTCTAGACTATAGATGCAGAGCAGACTGTGCCTCCTAATAGAGGTGGGGTTGGGCTGACCAGTAATAGCAGTTTCCCCTCTGTAGGAGATACAGAGGTTTCTGTCCTTATAGATAGCATGGCTGTTGGCTCCATAGGGCCACGATCACCAGTGCTACCTGTATGTCTTCCTATTCAGGAAGAGACCACTCCCCCTGTCCTCTCTAAAGCAGTTCAGCCTAGATGATCCCTTTTGGCATTGGATTAGATCTCTTCAGCTGGGCTCAGGCATCTTCTGCAGTTTCTCATACAGCAACAATTTGAAAACATGCAGAGCAGCTCCAGGGGGATCACTGTTCACTTTTATTCAGTGTTATCTGATTCTTATTTTACTAGGACCTCTAGCATCCAACTCCTGACTGGGGTTGCTTCTTGCTAGACACTAAAACTGGACTGCCAACTCACAGAACTGTAACTTTATGCAACTATAATTCTCAATAGTATTGTCCACATAGATTCTACAGCCATAGGTGAGTCCTTTACAAACTGGGTTCTGAACTGGAAAAAGAACAGAGGGAAGGTTGAGTCTACAGACAGGCCTAAAGGACACTGTTGGTCAAAATACAGTAAAACTCCCATTAGTCTGGCATCCAATGCTCCGGGACTCCTGATGATCCGGCACCATCAGGAACCCGGAAGTGCTGGGGCAGCTGGACAGGCTTCCCCCATTCAGCTGCTGCTGAAACTGACCAGCAGCTGAATTGGAGGACACTGTTGGTCAAAATACAGTAAAACTCCCATTAGTCTGGCATCCAATGCTCCGGGACTCCTGATGATCCGGCACCATCAGGAACCCGGAAGTGCTGGGGCAGCTGGGCAGGCATCCCTGATTCAGCTGCTGCTGAAACTGACCAGCAGCAGCTGAATCAGGGATGCCTGGGGCAGAGCCGGACTACTGTAAGGGGGGGCTATGAGGGGTCTGGGGTGGCATCCCCTCCCACCCTACTCCAGAGCCCTCATAGCCCCCCCTTCTGATAGTCAGGCATATCTGATAATCCAGCACCTCCTGGGTCCTAGCAGGCATCCCTGATTCAGCTGCTGCTGAAACTGACCAGCAGCAGCTGAATCAGGGATGCCTGGGGCAGAGCCGGACTACTGTAAGGGGGGGCTATGAGGGGTCTGGGGTGGCATCCCCTCCCACCCTACTCCAGAGCCCTCATAGCCCCCCCTTCTGATAGTCAGGCATATCTGATAATCCAGCACCTCCTGGGTCCTAAAGGTGCCGGATTATCGGAAGTTTACTGTAGTCTGTTTGCAGGAATATGCAGCCAGGACTGTTTTACACAATTTTCTGAGGTTGTAGCCAGAGTTCACTGTCTTTAAAGGATTATATAAATTACTGTCTTAAATACTTTGATATAAGTATGTTTCCATTTGGCTTGTGTGTCTGTTACTCTAGGCCACCTGTTTATATTTAGACAGCAAAGTACTCCATGTGCTTTAAGTTACCCACACCTAACCAGTAATATCTGGAAGTCTTTACAGTACACTGTATGCTTGTAATCAACTTGATTCTCTTTTCCCAATTATTTTAGGAAGAATGGACTGATGATGACCTTGTAGATTCATTATAATTTTAAAGGAAGATGGAGCAGTTCCTGAAGCTCTGGCATGTGCTGTTGTCTACTGCATCATGTAGGATTCTTATTTGTAAAACCTTTCTTCAGCTAATAACTTATGCAGGTTCCACTTTACAGTGGGATATGTATTTACTATTTCATAATAAATCAATTTATTTTATTTAAATTAGTTGCTCATGATTTCAGATATTAATTGCTCTGTTTTTTCCCAGAACTTAGATTTTGCTGTCAGTATCTTTTTTGCACACTTAGAGAACTTATTCTATAGTATCACCACTAATGCAGCATAGATTTGTTGAGGATTAATAGCAGTAAGTGGCTTTTAAGGTCTAAGATACTTAACACAGGTGCACCCTGAAACGTATTGCTTTATTTTAAAAAAAGCCATGGAGAAATTGGACAACAACAAATGTAATATGAAAACTTTTTGAAGAGGGAAAGCTTTCACTACATGGCTCAGGCATTTAACTAAAGTCAAAGCAAATACACCACACTTACAGCTGTGTTAGTTCAAATCCTAAGAACGAACAACGTAAACCAACAGCATGCTCTTCAGGTCAGCTAGAGCAACTGACAGTTCTACATCAGAATGCACTGGCTGGCACTAGAGTACTTCTAGGATCACATCATCTTACCTTAGTTCAGGCAGAAGTAAGCTGTACTGGTACAAAGAGGAAAAAAAACAACAAATGGTCTGGTAGCACTTTATAGACTAACAGAACATGTAGATGGGATCATGAGCTTTTGTGGGCACAACCCACTTCTTCAGATGACAGGTAACAGAACATGTAGTTCTGTTAATCTATAAAGTGCTACCAGACCATTTGTTTGTTTTTTTTTTCTTGTAACAGACTAAAACTCATCTACCCCCTGAAGCTCCTGGTACAAATAGGAGCTCTCTCTACAAGAAGTCTGCATGGATTCATTTTTGGAGGATAAATCTAAGCTGTAGTGCTCTGAAATGAGGAAGTCATAGTGTAGCTAACAAGTACCAGGGCAAGTTGTGTTTAAGTGGTTTTAATAAGCAAGGGCAGCCACTAGCCTGAAGTCAAACTGGCACAGCTACAACGTACACTGTACTTAAACTTCCTTTGTCCCACTTGAAGTCACCTGAGGGGTGTACTTCTTTGCCTCATAGGAGGGAGGTGGAAAGTTCAACATCTGTAACACCTTTTATCCCATGACCACCAGCTGAGTGAGTGACTTCTAATTGCTTCTTAACCAGAGCATTAATTCACCCCAAAGTACATATCAGATAAGTATTAAAGCAAAAGGTATATACATACATATTCCCTTACATAAACCTCAGCCTTTTTTCTAAGCTTTAAGTATTATTCAGCTCTTATCTCCATCTGTGGATTAGGAAAAGCATATTTAGTCTCTTGTATTCACACACTCCAAGGTGTCAGGCTTCCTAGGGCAGTTGCCAACAATTCACTCAACGATGAGGGCACTAGTTTAGACTTAATAGTGATGGACCCTAGATTCAGCTCTGGAAAAAATAAGCCTAATTGGATGCAGGCAAGGGGGAAGGCCCTAGATAATTGTTTTTCCCATTTCCTCTAAGATCCTGGATTGTTCCTTTCTTTGCCACTGTTTTCCTCCAGCAGTCTCCTTTGAATTAATGTTTTAGGTTGTCCTGTCTTATTGCATGGAATTGTTACATTACATGGAGGCAACTGAATATTAAACTGTATAAATCCTTGAAAATAACAATGCAAGAAATCTAAATGCTAAAAAGGGTGAATGAGTGTCTGAATTAAATTAATTATTTATATAATCAAAATCACTGAGACATGGTATTACCAGGATACAAACTATATAGGCAAGACTGTTGGTCATACTGGAAGGGGAATGGCATTATATGGGAAAATGACAATATTATAAAAGTTGTATCCAATTCAAAGAGTCTCTATGGATAGAAATTCCATGCTTGAATAAAAGAATATAGTAGGAGGACTATACTACTGACCACATGCCTGTGATTATGTAATGCTTAGAATGATTAGAGGGGCTACAAAAAATACCCAATAATAGATTGATATAATGGGCAACTTATTCTGACATCCTGCTAACCCTCATTTTATGAGGGTTAAGGGGCACTTTGGAATAGCAAGTTTTCAAAATTACAAAATAAGCTATGCAAGTTGCATAGCACAGCTCATTTCAAGATAAGGGTGCTGTGTAGATGCACTCTAATAGTGATCATAATTAAATTTAACATCTTTGTAGAAGGGGAAAAAAATATCAAACCCACTACAATAGCCTTTAACGTCAAAAAAGGGAACTCTACAAAAATGAGGCAGCTAGTTAACAGTCAGAAGCAATTTTCCCTCTAATCTTTTCCTAGCTGTGTGTCGAATACATTTTTTATGTGCACTAAGACATATGTAAATGTCACCACCCAGAGAGAAACAACCTAGTTGTGGATGCTTTTCTAATAATTTCTCACCAGAATACTGTTTTAAGGCCACACTACTTTATTTACATCTTTCTGATTTCATCTCTGAAGCTGACCAACTTGCTCCCATCCTACAAGATATTCTGCCTTACTTAGTCCTGTTTTTTGGACTAATCTTCCAATTCCCTCCTACCCCACTGATATTCTATACCTCTCCAAAATGAAAAGGTGAATGACTGCATGCAGTAGCTATACCAGTTTTTTCCATAACACTGCTACCATCTCTACCTATTTGTTGTTTCTTCTCTCCCTCTCCCCCTCAACTATTTTCTCCCTCCCCCATTTTGGAAGGATGTTATAACTTGACTAGGAAAAATTAGAAGTTTAGCAATAAATGTCACATCAGTTTCATAAGAAGGAAAAAGAAAAACTGCTTGAAAATGTAAGAGTTTGATATAAGGATATTTACTTTACCATGTGACATTGATAATTTATATTTTAATAGTTAAGGAATATTTTAAACTCACTGCCATTACATGCCTATTGTCAGATGATCCCCTTCCCACAGCTTCCCTCAACTGTGAGCATTCAAATAGATAAAAACATAAAATATACACAATTATCAACAAATAAAAATGAAACTTTGTGAAGTCCAGTAATGTGTGACCATATTTCCAATGAACTGTATCGGTCATAATCTTCTATGCTGAATCTTGAGAGGCAAATTATTACAAAGCCATATTAGTCTTGAATCTAAATGCTGGAAATGTAAATTTTTTCCATATTAGAAAGATATTTCATACTTTATTTGCAACGTGAAGAATTTTCACACAAGTATAAAACTGAAGAACCTGGCTTAACCTATGAATTATACAACATTGAAATTGAGTTGTTCACTGAAACTCCAGCTTATTTTGTGGCTGGATATCACAGGATATATTAAACAGCAGCTGCTAAAAGATAGGCAAGATGAGGTTGGAATTTTCATTTTAAAGATTAGATTTGCAAGAGAGTAAACTACAGTAAACAATGAAACTTAACATTTCAAAAAATCGAAAAATGTTCATATTCTATCTAGAGCTGATTTTATTTTAAAAACTGATTTTTGAAATCACACAAGTATTTTCGGTTAGAAATCTTGTCTGACTTACATTATACAACACACAAACCACTCCATTCTTTATAAAATTGTTTAATGAATGCATGCATGTCTGATACAATGATCAATAAATTTACTGAGTTCAAATTATTTACTGTTGTAAACATTTTACAAAAGCATTGTGATTTATCTGGATACACAGTCCATGATGGAAGAATTATTCAAACAGAATCAGTGACACATTAAAAAATAAAGCTGAGAAGACCCATTCTGCATATTCTCTTTCAAAATAATTCCAGCAAGAGAAACAGCATGGTATAAAAAGTATGCAGCAAAAGATTGTTCCTACGATAATGTCAAATTCTTGAAACTGTAAATACAAATTAAAGTGGTTGAACAGTCAAAAGTCGTAATTGTAACCAGTTAGAAATTACAGTAAAAATGTGTTCAATCCAGTTATAATTAGCTGTCAAAACAATGTGTTTAGTTCTTTGTCAGTTGACTATAACTTCTTTTCCAACAGACAGCAAAACTTTGGCAAGGTGTTGAAAATAACGTTTGAAGTTCAAGACACAGTCACAGCATTTTCTTTGTGGAAGGTGATTGGTACACCAAGGCTCAGAGGTTGTGAAAATTGGTTCCATGTGGAAAAAAGTGCAAACATTCTGCACACGTAGCTTAAAAAGCTGCTGATAGAAACGTTCACCAACAGAATCTTTGTTTTCTATTTTGCATAGTTCACACATCACTGGGAATGTGAAAAAGGTGTGCTATTTTTGGCAAGAGCAAGAAGGAAGTGATATTGGTGTGAGTTGCCATGTTGGGCATGCTGGATCCATGCAGAAGTCTACGTAGAAGGCTGCTACCTGATGTTATTCGATACTGAATACTGATTTTGTTTTTGCTGAAGCAGTTCTGTAATAGCTAGAAGCTTCTTTAGGACATGCTGTAGAAAGAAAGTCAGTAATAGTAATATTATGGACAAATAGGAAAATATCACATCAGGAAACCAAATATTCTTGACATGTTTTCTATTTCTCTATTGAAACTTCTTCATGAGACTTGCTTTAAAACATTAGTGTGCACAGCTTTCTATTATAAAGTAAAATAAAAGAACTGATCTGATTCCACCTTTAAATCAATGCTCTGATGTAAAAAATAAAAATAACTGTAAAGTAGTGAGAAATACGCCAGTCTAAATTTAAAATATTTACTTTCTTAAAACAATTTACAAACCCAAACTGGAATATAAAAGTCAAATTGAGTTATCTCCTCTGTCATCAGTGAAAAGGATTCTGTTTGCCAGGAGGAGTTCTTAGTTACCTCACAGGTGAGAACAGAATTTGGACAGATAATGGAACTGTGTCTGTTGACAATGCACATAAAGGACAGAATACAATTTACTTTTTGTAGAGCTGTTTCCACAGGGCTAACGAAAGTAAAAAAACCACACTACAACAGTAAAGATTGAATTTAGTTACTAAAATAACCAGATGCATCTGGAAGCAGTTATGCAGAAAAAGTGCAATTTTTACATATTCACTTTTTAGGGTAAAATTATAGGTTATTGTGGCAGAAAGTCATCTATAGCACTTTGAAAGGTGCTTCTTAACTGCCAGGTCTTTTCCTTCACCACCAGAAACAGGAGTTCAGAAAATTTTCCTTG